GACCACGACCATCGCGTCGCCTTCACTGTTCAAGCGCGACGCAAAAACTCCAACCACTCCCGGCAGCGATTTGAAAAAGGCTCGTGTCGTCATTATGTCTGGGAACATTGGTAAAAATCGCCACTGTACGTGGGGGAAGCAGATCCGCATGCGTGCCGGCGCTTGCCTCCGCGCAGGCAGCGATCGCTGAAGCGCGGAGGACCACTTCTCGCTGGCCGGCGAGATGTGCCGCGCGCAGGACGCTCAGGGCCGTGTCCCAGAGCGCCCCGTGGTGGCAGGCCGCCAGCGCAGGGCCTCGAGGCGACGGACAGGTCCCTCCCGGACAAGAAACAGAATGCCTCAAGCCTCAAATGGAAAAAACGAGTACCGGGTAGTGAAACTGAGGACCATGCCTGCGCATGATAGGCTCCAACCTGCACGAGGACGCGTCGGCCATAATATTGTGGCGCTCTCCCTCCATCACGTCCCTGCCTGACATAGGCCACACTGCAAGGGCCAGGTCCCAGCGAGATGCTCTGGAGCAGGCGGACATCGCAGCACCTCCAGTCTGGCCAAGCCCAAATCAGCGTCTTCCGACCGAAACTGGGGGGTCCCACTGTGGCAGGCAGCCTGCCAATGTTTCAGCATGCACAGCGCTTCAATTGCCGCAAGCAGGCCAGCGCTACGTTCGCAACCACACTGGCCCTGCCCATCCCCTCCAGCAACGCCAATGCCTGGCAGGCAACTTTCGACCCGCCGTGGCTCGTGGCTCGTCCACCTTCGGGCCTGAGCCCACTGGTGGCCGCGCGAGGCAGCAGTGATTGCCGTGCCCCAAAGCGCACCTGGACAACACGCCGAGGCACACGGCCACTGTTGCACATCTAGGGTGGAACGGCAGACAGCCAACAGCCTGGACTGAGTCGGAATGAGGCCAAAGTTTACTTGCAAATCAATCCACCTCCGCAAGGTAGAACCTTATGCGAGAGCATCAAAGAAGCAAGCCGTTTGCAGGCAAAGAATGACGCCAAGGAGGAGAATCCAAGGATTCAGCTTGCAAAAAGCAGCTCATACGACTATGAAACTTAATAGGGAGCCCCGTCTAAAGTGGTTGGCGGACATGGATCCCCACCGAATTCGGCCACCAATTCGGGTCCGCAACTAAAATTCAAACCCATATGGCTGTGGGTCAAAACCTATGGTACCATTTTGGGGGTAGGTGCACCACCCATTTTAGAACCTAAGTGGATCGGAATTTTGACCCATGGCCATATTGGTCCCCAATCTATCTGCCCATCCCCGGCCTCCTCCCCCCGCAAGCTCTGACTGCAGCAGATCCAACGCTCGGCTCCAAAGAAGAGCAGCCGAGAAGGCGTTGGCCTCAGGTGCGTCACAACCAACGCCTGGTACACAAGACTTCCACCCCAAACCGTGCAGAGAACCAGGGCGATTTCGAACCTATTGCTGCGGGACTGTCCCAAAACCCACTGCTCGGGCCCGGATTTTGAGTGCGGCTTGCGGCTCAATGAACTGTCATAGAGCATGCCTGTACTGCACCCTGCTACAAGAAAACCGAAGAATCGTGTGGAACCAGGGTGCCAATTCTGATGGCCCAACAGCTATGGAAAGGTCCATGCGGTAGGTGGAACGGGTGCCACACTTGTACATTGGGCCAAAGCAGCTTGCAAAGGGCCACAGAAGCAAACATCGACTATCTCCATGTGGTAAGCGGTCAGGGTGCAACTTCCTAGGCCCAAGAGCCACTTCCGAGAAGGAAACCTGAATTTGCAATCGGCAGGCGGTTGCTGCGGTCAACCATCAAAAACAAAAGCAGAAATCAGGCGCAAACCTCGCTGGATGGGATCTGCAAGCACCCAAAGCACACGTTTCCAGGGCCAACGAATGCATATGAGCAAGCATGGAATATCTTCACATGGTCATCGAGTACTCCACATGGCAGGCAGTCAGGGTGCAAAGTCCTGCAGCCACCAAACGCAACTTTGAAAGAACACAGCCAACATCTGACACGGCAAACGTTCACATAGGCACACAAATTCCTAGGACCATTCGCCCAACACCCCAACACATTGCTGCACCTTGCTGCGTATGCGGTGCACATGTGATGCATAGAGTGTGTATGTCTGCTGGGTGTGCGCTGACGGCACTGTGTAGCGAAATCAAGTGCGGTGCAAAGCCGACCACCTACATGGAAAATGCTCAAGACCTGTCTTTAGATCATTGGACTACAGGGCAGGTCAAGACCCCAACTTGACTGCTGCCTGCCAATGGCAAACTCTCGGCCATGGATTGTTGGTTTTCCGCGAAAACAAGAATGAAAGACGGAAGCCAGGAGATCGCAAAGCAATTAGAGGTGCCACAATATGCTTGTTTGACAAAATGCAAACCGCGGAACATGCCTTCCAGTAGTGCCGTGCTTTCCGCAAGCCAGTAAGAACGTGTTCTGCATCTTGTGATTCGGAACTTGCCCGCCAATTCATGTACGCCGGCATGAACGTGCAAAACTCACGCATACAGGTCGGCATGTGGCCACGGGTCAAATCCCGTACCAGTGAGCGCAGCAGCCATGTGTTCAGGGTCGCAGCAACTGGTGTAGAGGCACATTCTTCGTGCCAGGCGGCTGCCGCTGAGATGCCTGCTTCTCCAGGCTCCACAGAGTGCCTGTCGACTGCTTCCCCACGTTCGCCCCGGTGCCAGCGGGCGCCTTGACATCATCTGAAGGAGCGAAGCGGCCTGCCGTCCATCAGCAAGGACAAAGCTAGCGGGGGGGGAAAAAAAAAAACTCACTGGGCTGGGCTGCGCAAACCAGCGGATGAAAAAGCAACACCATTTCGTAATGAAGAAGGCATATTGGGCCAGAGAGCAGCACAAAACGAGTCAAAACGTCGACTAACATTCGACTCAACAAGTTGTTATTTGGGTGTGGGTGCTGCGTTGATGATATTGAAAATCATGACAAGACAAACGAACGGCACTATCTCGCCTGCACCCATGCGGCGGAGGACGCGCAGGCCGCCAGGCACGTTCCACCCAGCGCGGGTGTGAGCAGCCTCGCCGAGACGCCTGACAGGCGACAGACAAGACATCTTCTGACAAAGACGCCCAGAGCTCCACTCGCGCACCCAGCTGCAAGAGGGCAGTCGACACCTGCAGCGAAGTCGACTTGGCCGGCCTGCATGGACGCCTCTCCCCTACCTGCCTCCCACTGGTGCCGACACGCATGTGCAGTGGCTCCCAGCATCACCGCATCACCTGGCGGTCCAGCCAGGCCCCGGGCCCACTGTCTTGAGCTCCCATCTGCTTCCCGCGCCTACGCCTTGCCGCTGGGCAAAAAGCTCCAGGGCTTCTCGCCTGGACTTCCAGACATGTCTCTCCCAAGCCTCCAGCCTGGGCGCCGCACCAGCGGGCTGCTGCGCCGCAGGCGCTGATGGCAGCAGTCCAGGCCACGTGGTCTCGGCGCTGCGCCATGGCGACGGCGCGTTGCCATTCCTAGCACCACGACAAATGAGATCCCATTTTGGGGTAGGTGCACCACCCATTTTAGTCTATTTCAGTGGGAATTGGGATGTTCACTGGGGGTACGATTTGGATTTTGACTCATGGCCACCTAGCAAGTCGCCATCTTTCAGAGGAATCCAAGAAATTCCAAGGACCAGGCGCTTCCCCTTGACAGGGCATCCAGCACCTGACACGAGCTCGGGTCAAGCTGCCGAGAATGGCAAAGCTCCAAGGTCTGCGCGGCTCCATAGGTGACATTGGAGGGTCGGGGACCGTGCTGCTGCATTCTGCGCAGAATCAGCCTAGACATGCACGATGGGCCACCCTCTCGCCTTTGCCTCTGGCTGAGGCCGGTGCACTGCGCGCTGCCATTGTGCAGCCCGTGCCTCGAGGAGCTTGCAGCATGTGACAAATATCGCACAACAGCTGGGCCCGGGCGCAAGCAGAAATTGCTGGATTCCACACGGGATGTCCTCGGCATTGCAACTTCCGAGCCCCATCCTGATTCAACAGGAGTACAAGCATCATTTGCCTCTAAATGAGGGAACCCCAAAATTGGCGGCTTCACTTTGGTTCACTCGCAAGGAGAATACAAGTATCCCTCCCACCAACATGGCACCTGTGAGAGGACCTTCAACAAAAGCCAGTCGCATGGATCCCCAACCTCTCACCTGAGCCGGGGGCAGCACGGGCACGGATTCCGTGCCGCGACCAGGACAGTAGCTGCAACGCCCGCTGCCAGCGCACGGTGCGGGCACACGCCTTATTGTCACCCATGGCCACGCAGGGCGAGAGGCCTCCTCTTGAGTGGCTGGTGGAGAGTGAGTCACTGAGTTGTACCAACAAACAGCCCCCTCTTCTCAAGTTGTACCACCTAGTCGCATATGTGTTTGCGCTTGTGGGATTCAGATTTCCACAGCTCAACCGGGCGGTTTCCCCCCTGCTTGCGGGAAAAGCTTCAGATTTATGCCAGTGTCTCTCAGACCCGTTCCATTACAGCCGCGCAGCTGCCGAAGGACGCCCATTCCTCCAGCGCCTCCTCCACAAGCGCCCGAACGAAAAGAGATGAGCCTCTGCTGACGGAAACCAACGAATCTGAACAGTTCTACCAGCCATAAAAATAGTGAACAGAAGTCAAAACATGTGTGCAAAGGAAATTCAATAAGTAGATTCCCGGCACAGAACCCTGTCAATTCAGCCATGTGTTGCAGTCTCCTGGGTCTCGCTCATGGCCCTCGGCCCACGCCATGTGTCAGCGCGGGCCAAGAATTGGCCCAGCCTCAGCCCCTGGGCTCCGTGAACGACAAGCGATTTAACCGCGAGAGAGTCTTGGAGCATTTTGGTTCTGTGCTGTTGTTTTACTGGGTCTCGAACAACACGTAGCTTGCAGCAAACACCTTGAGCCGGACGGCTAATGTCTTGCTGCAACTAGCTATTCAGCAACTAGGCAATGCCTGCCCTGCCGCACAAGGCGGCAACACGATGCTGGTGCCGCACTTTGAAAAGTCCTTCTTGGTGTAGCCCCCGAAGAACCATACGGCGCCATTCCACACGACTGCCTCTGCCAGTCCGTGCTCCTCCCCCTGTAACCCCAGTCGCAGCCCCTGCCTGTGCTCCACTTCTAGCCGGTGGCGCACGGCCACCCGCGCGAATCTCTTGCCAAAGGTTGGTCTCCACGTTGTACCTACGCAACAGAAGCTTGACCAAGTCATCCCCAAACAACTCGTTCTTGCCACAAAGAATCGAATGGCAACTTGGCTGCGGCAATGCCCAAACTACAGTGGCTAAAATGCTGCATAAGATTGAGAAACAGAGACAGACACACACGCAAACGCAAACGCAAACGCAAACACAAACGCAAACGCAAACGCAAACGCAAACGCAAACGCAAACGCAAACGCAAACGCAAACGCAAACGCAAACGCAAACGCAAACGCAAACGCAAACGCAAACGCAAACGCAAGCGCAAACGCAAACGCAAACGCAAACGCAAACGCAAACGCAAACGCAAACGCAAACGCAAACGCAAACGCAAACGCAACGCACGCAGACGCAGACGCAGACGCAGACGCAGACGCAAACGCAAACGCAAACGCAAACGCAAACGCAAACGCAAACGCAAACGCAAACGCAAACGCAAACGCAAACGCAAACGCAAACGCAAACGCAAACGCAAACGCAAATGCGAACGCGAACGCGAACGCGAACGCGAACGCGAACGCGAACGCGAACGCGAACGCGAACGCGAACGCAACGCAAACGCAAACGCAAACGCAAACGCAAACGCAAACGCAAACGCAAACGCAAACGCAAACGCAAACGCAAACGCAAACGCAAACGCAAACGCAAACGCAAACGCAAACGCAAACGCAAACGCACGCACGCACGCACGCACGCACCCACACACACACACACACTGACCGAGTCTGCAACATGTTGAATGCGTCTAAGGCGAGTGGCTCGGTGGTGAAACAGCGTTCTAGCTACTGAGCCATACTTGAAGGCATGCCTGCCAAAAGGAATTCATCGCAAACAATGTCACACTCCAGAAGCACTTGATCACTACGCTGAGCAAAAAAACAACTGAACAGCTCACTGAACTTCAGCACAACTGCGATGACCTTTTGGGATCGTCCAGAGCTTGGGCCCCTTTGGGTTCCAAGCTCCTGGCCCGAGACACATCCTGCTGGTGCCAGCACATCAGCAAGCCAAGGATGCGCACGTTCAAAGATGTGAAGAACACTGCCAGTGTGTGATAGACCACCAGGCTGGCGTCAGACAGGCAGTCCTGCAGAGTGCCGCTGTGGCCGGGGAGCATTGACATGACCCAAAGGACTTCAGCAATGCCGCGCCCGGCAAAAAACATCAGGTACGTGAGGCGCCAGTGCCGGCTGGTCGAGCGCTCATGCTGCAGCCATCCTGGTAGTTCGTGCTGCGCGTTCCCGAGCTCTCGCCGGAGCATGAACATCACCGGCAGCTCAAAGATTAGGCCCTGCACCATGACACCGCCCAGCTGGTAGGTAGCTAGGGTGTACAAATACGCAAACACCGTCACCACGTGGTGTGCTGTGTACATGCAGTACATGACTTGTGCAGATGAACAGCATAGGTTTAGGGGGAAGAAGGCTAGGCCGCCAGCAGAGTTGCTTGTCAAGCCTTGGTGCAAGAAAGAGCGAGTACGCCAGTCCTCCCAAAGAGCAGTGATCCAGTGGCCTACAGCCATCCAAAAGAAGAATTGCTGCACAGGGCCAAAGCTCATGAGCATTGACTTGACCGGCTCGGCTTGAAAGGCACTGACCAGGAACATGGCCAATCCCGCGCTTGACGCCACGCAGCAATAGGCCAGCATCCGTCGTAGCTTCAGGACGTAGAAGCGCCATAGACGGGCTTCAAGGGCTGGAACCCCACAAGGTTCCTGCCTCAAAGGCAGGCACCTGTGCAGCAACGTCCAGCAGACAGTCCACAGAACGCAGCCTGCAATTGACGCTGGCCTGGAAAAGATGGTGCCAAACTCATGATGCTGTGCAAACATCCTACGCCCACATCACTTCGTGCATGTGGAAACCGCAATACACATGCTTGGGCACCTCAAGGCTGCGCACAAAACAGCGGGCCCCCAGTTGCCCGAGTGTCGCCAAGACGAAATAGTGACAAGCGGTAATTCTGCAGCCTCTGAGTAAAGGCGTTGCTTGGTCCAGCCGGCTGCCAGCCAATACTACTTCGAAGGCTCGCACAAAGGATTGGGAAAAACGCCTCAAAAAACAAGTGTTGGCCCTCTTCAACAACCCGCGATTCAAGGCACCCATTTCAGCCCCAAACAGCAACATCTAAGAAACATGATCTTAGATTCCAAAGCCACTGCCAATGCTTCCAATTACTTATATTCGTGTCATAGTCTCTTTCCGAAATCAAGAGATCAGGTCGCCCAGGCCCCAAACACCAAAGCAAACCAGCTCGTAGAAGGCCGGCAGAAAGCATCAGGCGCACGCATGCACATCGCTCTGGCGCGCAGCTCCATCCGTGCCGCCAAATAGGTAGAACACACCATCCTGGCCGGACGCGCTTGAGCGCGGGCCATACATTCAGCCAGACCAACGGTTCTCCTCGTTCACCACGGCATGACCTGTTCGAGGGGTGTATACCTTGGCACACAGACCAACGCATGGACAAAAAGGTGTCTGCACTGGCAAGGAAACTTAACTGATAGCAAGAGCAATGCATGCCGAGGCTTGGGCATCTCCAATGTTGTCCAAGTGATCCCATTTGAAGGGCACAAGCCTTGGTGCGGATGCTAATGATGTGCTTGATTGAGACAACCCTTTTGGGTGAATCTGTGAGGACCAAAAGGAAATCGGGCATTTGGGGGTTCCGTCCGGAAACTCAAATGGCAAAGAATTGGCATTCTGAGGTCATGACCCAGCGGCCATTTTCCCTCGGGCGCTTCACAGAAACGAGACGGCTATGATCTCGTGATTGAGCCAAGGCTCTGTCAAAAGATGGTGTTACACAAAGCCAAGCTCGAGCAAGGGCGACAACAAATAAGTTGTGTCGCATGCGGGCTCGCGCTACCGCATTGCCACCGCTTTTGCACGAGGTTTGCAATGTGGCTCGGCAGTGTTGCTTCTGTAATTGTTGTGTTTCGTTCGAAAAGCCTAACCCGTTGCTTGAACTGTCTTGACATGCCATCTACATGTTGTGTGCGTTGAATGCATGCGGCAGATTTGTCATGTAGCCCGTTAAAGGGTTTCTTCAATGTATGTTGACCGACGATCCGCATTCGACTCCGGTGAGGACGTCAAAACATGTGTGGCCAATGAAACATTAACTCAATTTGTGTTTGCTACTAGTTGTTTTCCCACGGGACCATGTCAGGGCAAGGAGTGACTTAGCATAGCAGCAATCGGTGGGCGTGCTAACGGAGTGTGTCTTTTGTCAGAGCTGTGGGGTTGTTGCGGGGAGTGGTTTATATTGCGACACACTGAAACGAAGCAAGCTGCAAGAACCATTCGTGCAAAAACAACAAACATGTCTTGTTTGGCCGAATTACCTACATAATTGCGCACTTAGGCATACGCATATGTGGAACATGGAAGCAGGCACGCTATGATCGAAACGCGGCATGATGTGGAGCATGCCAGTTTGTTTACTAGCTTACTTATTGTTGTTTCACCATTTCACCGGGTCCTTTTCGGGCACTATTTTTCGAACGGAATCTGCAACGCACTGGGCGGCGTAGCCAAACCTCATTTAAACTTAGCAGACCTGATGCGCAGCTGCATCCTGGTCTGCGGACTTGACTTAGGGTTCTCGTGTCTCATTGTTTCACAGAACTGCCTTCGGCATGAGTTGCACTAAACACATGTTGTTAAGGCATGTTGCACTGCTCCTATCTTGAACCCAAACCAGACCACCCAAAAGAACAAAGCAAGTCCGAAGCGGCCGCAGTTCTTTTAACCGGGATTGCTGAAAGTAGCACTGCTTCCAGGGCACGGATGCGCCTGGAGCAGGAGGTGCGTTGACCCCCCCTTCAGTGTTTCAGGCAACCCCGGTATAGGCGAGCCAGCTGGGCCGCCGGCCTCATCACCCCCCCTTCAGAGTGGGGTTGTACCTGGCAGGGCAATCGTCGCACGACATTGCACTCTCATGCTTATGAGCATCTGCTGCTCAGGGACTGCTCATTTTCGTCAAAGCGGCTTGCTGTGAAGCTGCTGACAGATGCAGCCAGATATTCTGGTTGCCAGGGCGATGTCGGGTCGCAACGCCTGTTGGGAGGCAGCAAGGCTTGTCTACACGCTGCTGGCAGCAGCTGCCAGGTGTTCCGGGCGCCAGGGCGCATCAATCGGACACAGCTGGATGCCTCTGCCTGACAGTGCAAGGCCTGCGGCCTACTGCTTAGGTCGTCTGCCCAATCATTGTTCCTGCCTGGAACATGTGTGGGCTGCAGCAACACGTTGCGCGCATGCGCCCAGAAGGCTGTGAGCTGCACGAAGAGTTGCAGCGGCCAGGAAGTCGTGAACAACTTGTTAAGGCTTGCTTCCGTTGCCGAGTTATCAGTGCCTGAAGGCATGCTGAACGAGTAGTGCCCACCACCAATATGGCTATGGGTGGCTTGCAGCAGCGCCAACTGCGCCAGCGTTTCGAAACATGCGATGTATCGCTGTCCAGGCTTGACAAGGCAAGGCCATACTGCCCGTATGTCCTGCATGTTCCAGGTTTCGGCAAACCAAACCACTTGCGATGAAGTGATTGCCCAGCCCCCTATACCTACCAAGTCGTCTTCGGCACAGGCATCTGCGGCTGCCAGTGCCTGCAGCTGGTGCGGCCGTGCCAAGGGCTGAACCGGCGAGCGCTGGAAGCACAAAGCTAGCCACGTAAGGCATTGCTGGCTCGACTTGGAAAGGCCAGTATAGGGGTTATTCGGATCTGAGACACGTACCCACGTGGGTTTGCTGGTGCCTGGCACACGCGGGACGTCCTGAGGGCAGTGCATGGGGCGGCCGGAAATTTGGAGAATTTTGGAGCCCACTGCGATCCAAAGGCTGGGAAGGCTATGGCTGGTTTTGAGGTCCTTGTTCAAGGAGGCTCTGAAGGCTGACCACATTTGTGGTGGTATTGAGCGCATCGAGCCCGGAGGGCTGTTGAGATCAGAGTATAGCGGCGCTAGCCAAGATCTGAGATGCAAGGCAATGCTGGTGGCCCAAATGAGCAGGCCTATGCACAGCTCGAGTGTCTTACGTAGTACTCGTTTGCTTCCCAGCAATGCTTTGATCAAGGCGTCCAGCTTCATCAGCTTAGCGGACACGAGCTGAATGGTATCGTGGGAGAAGTTGATCTCCCAGCCACACTAAATGAGGCTGTCCTGAAACTGCGCCTTTTTCCACGAAATGGGCGCAGCAATTGCACAGAAGAACAGCACCACTGAAGCGAACATTTCTGAAGCGCTGTCTCGGACGAGTGCGCACAGCAGGTCGTCCACGAAAAGGAAGGCTTTGTGGGGCTTCCAAGCCAACAGCCCATGCACTTGGCGGAGTAGAAACGCGCCAGCGCGCTGCCACCAGAATGCAGAGAAACGGCCTCCGAAATGGCATACTCTATAATGGTAGAGTTTTTCCTGAAAAGCAAACAGTAGAAGGCCATGCTCTTCAGGGCGGACCTGCACCTGTTTGTGCGCGGCTTTGAAGTCAATACTTGCCCCCACAAAGGCACCTGGAGTGTCTTCGGGACCGCCTCAACCGAGGTACCAAAGCCTTGTCCTTCGCCTTCAGACCCGCTGTGGCCAACCGCCCCGGACTTGCCAGGCGATGCCCTGCCGGCAAAGCAGGAGGCGGTCCCCAAGGTGGCGCCCAGGCGAGGCCATTGCCTTAGAGGCCTCCGCCAGTGCCCCAGCCCAAGGCAGCCCTGAGCCCGCCTTCGAGCCCAAGCCTGACCTGCAGTACTTGGGCCTTGCACCAGACACGCCTTTGTACGTGTGGGACAGCAGCTGGTGGATGAATTACTACGAACTGCCCTTCAGTAGTGTGCCACGCGCATTAACTAGCATCGACTCCTGCTGGAAACGCAATGAACGGCAGTCTTACCGCAAGCCCTCACAGCCCTGGCCAAAGCCCTCCCAGCCGCAGGAAAACACACGCGCCATCGCCCAGCTGGAGCAGCGCGCGCAACTTCCTGCCATGCGGCTGCCCTGCACTATGAAGGCTGCGCGGGTGGGAGGGGTCGTACCTGGATGACCAATCCAGATTGTGCTGCGCATTGCCTTGTGCGTCATCGCCCTGCCCTTTCCACCCTGCGGCCGCATCATCAATGACAGGATTCCCCTGTTCGAGGATACGCACACTTCGCACCACTGCAGCCGGCGCTATGAAGCCTTGCAACCCAATGTAGCCATGTACTAATGCCTTGCACTGTGCCATTGACCGCACTATTCAGCTTCATGAGGGCCACGCAGTGCACTCATTTCATTTTCTTGAAACTGAGGGAATGTTTTCAGAGAAGCCTTCTGCTTTTTTGCACCCATCGCATTACGTGTGCATCCGACACATTGCGTTGGCCCTCATCATGACCGATCCGCATGCAGGAGATGCAGCGCACTGCCCGTCAGCCCAACCGTTGCGGCCTGAGCATTGACGCTCCTCCGGCACAGGTACACCAACGGGCCTTCTGGTCAGCACCTCAGAAGGTCGCATGTACGCCTGCCACCCACTTGCCCTGCATGCATTTAGGCTCGATGCCTTATCGTAGTACGAAATTCTGGGGGAGAGCATTTTCATTTTCCCCCGATGGCCTTTCAGAAGACATGGCGGAAGACCATCCGGCTTTCAGCCCACACAAGTCGTCAGGCTTTGTGGGCGCACGCCCTGCAACTGCCGCCGAAGCTACGTCGCCGGGGGCCACTGCCAAAGCCAAACCGGGGCTCAACCAAGCAGCCTTGCCCTCACACATTGACCACAGCAAGACCTACCCTGTGCGAGCTCATGTGAGTGATCTCCGCTTTCAGCTGCAGAGCCACCCAGCACTGCCCCCTCGCCCCAGGCTCTCGGTGGCAAATCAAAAACCAGGGTGCCCATTTCCAGAGTGCATTAGGTCCTGGTGGACCCTTACTCCTGCCCTCTGCCCAAGCCGCCTTGCCCTTGGCCTCGCAGTCTAGCCTTGCAGACACACACCGGTCAGTACCGCACAGGTCAGGCCCGGCCCCTGCTCAGCCTACCAATTGCAGTGATCCCCTCACGCCGCGTGTTCAGCGCCAGGCCTGCATTGCCCAGGCCATACGGCCCTGTCCGCCCGCCCGAGCCTTCATCAACTGCGCAGTTACAGGCCACGCTGAAGGACAAGTGCAAGCCCTGGAAGCCTCGCAACACCCGCAGGTCCTTGTCGAGGCATCGCTGCGCAAGTTTTCAGGGGGCAGGCTGTCGCAGTACCTCCGAGCCATCCGCCTTTTCCTCACCTTCGTAAATCAGTGTGGGTGATTTGCTGCGCCTTCCCCTAGCCCATCTGTCAGATTTCATCGCAGGCTGCCATGTGTCACAAGCAGAGGACCGCACTGCACTCAAGCGCAGCGCAATCATGGCGCGCATTGGGCAGGTATCAAGCCTGCTGGACTTGATGGGCAGCCCCTTAATCAAGTCCTTCGCATATAACCCCAAACCTCACGATCGGCGCGAAGCCCTGCCTTTGCCATCAGCCATACTTGCAGCATGGGAGGAACACATAGTTTCCCCTGCTTGCACGCCAGCCGTGGGCTTGTTTCTAGGCGCCCTGCTTTTGTGCGCTCGTTGCAGTCTTAGGTTTGGGGACATTCAGAGAATCAAGCCGTCCGCTCTCTCGCTGTCCGCGCAAGCACTTCGTGGCCTGTGTTGGGCCACTAAGACAACCAATCAGGGACAACCATTTGCATGCTTGCCCTTCGGTTTTCGAGGGAAGGATATCAGCACATCCTGGCTGGTGAGGTGGCTTGCCCTGCTCAGCCAAGCATTAGACGCCACTCAGGCCGA